ATCAGTTAGTTTACTGTCAGTTTATACTGATCAAACACTACTCTGCCTGACGGTAGTCCGTGCCTTCTTTCCTCCAATATTTTCGCTCGAGAATTTTTCGGAATCTTTAGCATCCAGTAAAATATCCGTAATGGAATTTGTCCTTGTCGGGAAAATCCGTTTCTTTGACAGAATTGTTTCTTTGATAGAATTTTAAGGTCCTTCATCTCCGCATTTGGCACTGATGGGATCTTTTTTGTGTCGATTTCAGGCGATATCATTGACATGAGGTTGGCCAGGATACGAGAGAAGGAGTATGCAGAAGATGACAATATTGGCTCATTCATGTATTTCTTCAAATTCAAGAACAAGCAGTATTGCGTGGATGCGACCGATGAAACATCAGACAAAGGGCGACTGATAAATCATTCCGTGCTAAGGCCAAATCTCAAAACTAAGGTAGCGTTATTTGGGGCTGTCGAATTCTTGGGCACAAATGGCTGATGCAGGTAGAGGGCAGAGCATCCATAGATTGATCACATCGACTAACGAAATGCCAAAGTATCCATCACTCACTGCTGTGGATTCCTAGGAATTCTTGCTAGTATTAATTAGTTCTGAACAAAAAACAGACTGTGAAATGCAGCCGATTCAACTAGTACTTTATTTAACTATCCTAATTTTACCAAAGAAAAAATCGTGATTTCTGAGTGAAAGTAGCATGCCATTGTATGAAATGATGATTACTGTCTCTTTTTGTTTAGGCCTGGGCATACCAGTGTATTCGCATTGTCGAGATAAAAAAAAAGACAGATACTTTATGTTTCTAAATGCGACGCCGATAAATTTGCGATTTTAGTTTTTCTGCACTTCACTGTCGACTTTTTTGCCCATTTATTTTCCTCTACATTTCTTTATAGAACCTTCCGTACTTTTTTTTCTAGTTAATGAAAAGGTTTTTTTTTTTTAAATCTTAATAGTTCGTATGATTTTATAAATGTTTTGCAAAATTGGCCTCAAAAACTGGTCGGCACTCGTCTTGCTGCGTATTCGCAATCGCTAAACAAATTATCGGTAATGATCTTCTACCCTAATTATGCACATGTGTTACTCATACTGCGTAGATGTTGTCATGAGACAGCTATAGATTTTGGTACTTTTTGACTCACATTTTTATACGTTTTTTGCAGCTATGCAATGCAGAAAACGCATATTGACGAGAGATTGTCTGTGTGTGTCTGTGTGTCCGTGTGTTCGTCTTTACCGATTTTTCATCTCGAGACCGGCAAAAGCTACGGGACTGAAACTTTGGGGGCATAATCTACATGCACGTACGGGCCCCCATCCTCAAAATTGGCGCTAGAACCCGCGTGGTACCTGCGCACGAGCCCGCCAAAGTTCTTTTGGGGTCAGCTCATAACTCGAGGATCCGAGAAGCTAGAAGGCTGAAATCTTGGGGTAATGTTCCGTTGGGGTCAGTTCATAACTCGAGGATCTGAGAAACTCAAGGCTGAAATCTTGGGGTAATGTTCCCCGCCCAAGCGGGTATTAGTGGGCTTAAACCCAGCCCCCGGGTAAGCATGGTACCCGCGTACGGGCCCTCCGAAATTTTTCCCGCGCAAATTCATAACTCGGGGATCTGAGAAGCAAGGAGGCTGAAGTCTTGGAGGAATGTTCCACCCCCAAGTGGG